ATGATGATGAGGGGGGGGGGGGACTGAAGAAGGGGGTTGATGATGAAGGTTGTGAGGGGGGGGGGATGTACGACGGAATAAAAGATTTCTTCTGATGGTAATGTTATATCAAGTGAATTATGCATGAGATGAAGCTTGGTTGTCTTTTGGAAATCTTTTGTAATTTTATTGAAGCGAAGATGTTTGCTGGATATGAGAGTAGAGATGAAGATGAAGAAGAAGACAGCAAACGAAGAGGAAAAAAAATTTTTTTCCTCTCCTTCTCCTATCTTAATTATGAATTTTCTATTCCTTCATTTTGCAGAAGTTCAAGAAATGTTTGGAGGAATTTGATTTTCTTCACAAATGCAAAGAGCGTTCAGTGAAAGATCTTCAACGACATCTGCACGCCATTTGGGATGTGGTGAGTTCGACGTTTTTCCAATTTTTAATTTTTTTTTCTCTGAAAATTAAGCCATCTCTTGTATTAATTCGTATTTTTGTTGAAAATTTTTTTTTGTTCTTGCTCCTCTCTCTCTCTGTGTTTCTCTCTTTCTTTTCACTTTTGAAAAGAATTAATTGAAAGGAAGTAAAACGTCAAATATGCTAATTCTGCGTGATTGATACGTGAACGTGAATCCACGTGTTATGTCATTTATGAGAATTGCAGAAAGATAGAGGGGGACAAGAGACAATCGCTTCAGCGAATTTGTGATATATTAACTTTCAGATTGATTTGCATGTGTTATCTGAGAATGATGATCACATCAAAGGTCTTGAGCTTCTTCTTATTTTGGAGGCGAAAGCTGTTTATGACGAAAAGATGAAAGGAACGAAACATCCCTGGTTCACATACGATAATCCATCGGAAATTATGCATTTATTTGAAGATAATAAGCCGTTAGATGAGGTAAGATCCCCCTATCCTCTTGAACAGTTTCTTTCATCGAAGAACACACACATACGCATATCCAACCATGATGTTCATAGGCATTCACTTAATAACTTATAAATGCCTTGCCTTTACAATATTTTTATTAAAAAATTTAAATTTCTCTCCGGATAAGGGAAATGAAGGCTTGATCGGGTTTTGATTAAAATTCATTAGGTTCAATCTGATATTTCGTATGTTGCATTAAGTTTTAACTTATGCCTGGATATCCGTTTGTCACGAATCATTCGAAAACTCATTTCGCCCATAATTCTATTTTAAAATATGAAACCGTAATACGTAGCTGTGTTTTTCGGATGGATATTACTCATCGTCTTACGACACCACGTACCTTAATCCAATCGCTGAGAGAATCAGATATTGAGAGGGTAAGAGGTATTACCACTGAGAGGGAGCTAAATGTTAATCTTTATTTTCTCTCTCTCTCTCTCTATAACTCTCTCTTCTCTCTCCCTAACTCTCACTCTAAGACAATTTTGACCAAAATTTTTCTTTTTTTTTGATATTTACGTAAAAATCATTTATACAATGAAATAAAAAAAAGCTGAATTAAGATTAGAAGGATAAACGCCTGGTCTTCGGCCAAAAAACAGTTTCTTTCATTTTTTCTATTTTAAGCTTAAATGCTAATGGTGAATAGGAAATTTTTTTTTTGCTTCTCCAGTATCTCGTTTTCAGAATGTTAAAATTAAAAAAAAGGAAAATTCAAAGAATGGAAAGCACATGAGATAACTTGAATGATTGCAGGTATCATGGAATCTTATCTGTCGACTATGCGATGTGTCCATTGAAATGGTTGATCTGTCAGCTTCGCCTCAAACATCAAAATACGGAAATGGCTCAACGATACTGCCGTGGATTCGTCAGAGATCTTCTGCACAACCACTGTTCTTCGTCCCAGAAGATTGAGAATATTAGAATATTTTCAATTCCCTTATCTTAACTATTTAGCCATTAATCTTAAATCAGGATATACATCACTCTGGTAGCCATCAATGATAGTTCGTGTCGTATCATTTGCAAAGTCTGTTTGTCCGTTATCCCCGACAATGAGCTTTGTCAGAGTTCATTTTCATTCAAATTTTTTCGGTTTCAAATGATTCGGGTATTACATGTGAATTTTAAAAGAAATAGGGTAGAGTATAGAGATCGTTTTTCTGTTTTTTTTTTCATTTGTTAACGTCTCACACTCATTTCCATTCGATTGCGACAGTTGAACGATTCAGTTGAGTTCACTTGAACTATATCATATAGTTTACTGCTAATAGTTAATTATATGATCTGCAACCACATTATCTTATTGAGAATCATCAATACGTTGTGCAGATACCTAGTTTCAAATTAACTACCATGAGCTCAGTATGCAAAGAAGAAGTTTCAAAGATTGACTGTTCGACGCAGCATTCGAGAATCCTCTTGAGCAGCACTCAGCAACTTGGTCGATAAAAACTTTTTTTTTTCAAACAAAAAAAAAAGAAAAAAGGAGAAGAAGAAGTTGAATTCATCTGACGTCGTCCTCTGTCTATTTTGAGCGGAATGATCAAAGTATATTGAAGATATTATTTATAATAAATATATTATATATGTATATTGTAAGAATGAACAGAAAAAAAAGAAATTTTTTACATCGTCTTCATGGTATTCTCATTTTTTCTTCTCTTCAAATTCAAATAATTATAAAATATGCTAATTTGCCTTTTTTTATCAAAGATTATTCAGATGCGTTCATTAAGCTTGAAAATGTCAAACGTAATCGATGAATGAAATGATCCAATTTGCTTGTCCTGAATTCATAAGCGATCATTCAATTTGCAGAAGAGAATGAAGAAAAACACAGAAAATTAACGATATTTCCTTTTCCACCTACAGAAATGAACTGAAGACGATGAAGGAGATGAATGAAAAGAATGAAAAAAACATTTTCTGTTTACTTCATGGCTGCTTTCGTCAATATTTTATGTAAAATTTGCATAAATTTCATTAAATCAGATCTTGAAGTTTGGCAAATATGGACAGAAACGCTAAAAATAAAATAAAATAATTAAAATATTCAATAATTATTCATTTTAAACATAGAAAGACGGATGATGAAAAGGGATGAGCATGTTGATGAATGTGATGATGATGAGAATGATGATGAGAATGATGATGATGATGACGATGATATTTGAACACTTTTTTTGAACCAGCGTGGGTTTATCCACGTAAATTGAGTTGATGGTACGTGAGGGTAGAACGGAGATGACACAAAAGCACTTCATTCTAGCTTTGATGAACAGGTGATGAACGGTTGTGTATGCTCTTGAGTCAATCATTGCCTATTACCTAGTGCGTACGTGTATGTGTTATGGATGTAGTATGGAGATTGGATGTCATGTCGAATGAATCTCAAATGAAATAAAGTTTTTCAAACATTTATATATCTAATAGGTAACTTTAATAGTTTTTTTTCTTCTTTCTAACAATAAATTAATAAATGAATAAATAAATACATGGCAATCAGAAAATGAGCAGATATGTTCATCTGAAGAAACTTTCTTGTTTTGAGAGAAGGAGCATGTCCCGTCTTTCTATCAGGAAAGAAACATTCTAAGAGTCTTATACAATAATAAAATTCTTAAGAAAAACAACAAAGAGAGTTTGTGTTACGAGAAATGAAAAGGAAAAATAGGAGATTTCAAATTTTTCAGTAAAAAAAAAAAATTTTTTTTCCTTCCGGGAATGAATTCTTCAAGCTGATACGTTCTGAGGTCATTGGAATACGGTGGTTATTAAGAGAAGAAAGACAAAAATAAAATAAAACTAATTCGAGAAACGATATGCTTCTTATCGCTTGCCACTTGGCTTAAACAGATATTCTAATTCTGGAGCTATTGTTGGCAATAAATCTTTTGGAGGCTCGAAGTTACGGGCAAACTTCACAAACTATAAGATGCTCGTTATGAAATACTGATCTGCAGATATGCTAAAGTACCTGTTCTTTGAATAAGTCTAAAGCTCCAGCAGTATTTGCCCAACGTTGAATTCTTTGAAGATTATCCAATCCGATTGTACGATCCACATGTCCTAACAACTTGGCTTGTGAATCAAGTTTTTGAGATCCAAGGGCAACTGAAACAGTTTTTTTTGTTGGAACAATTTTTTTTCAATGATTTTTGATCTAAACTAACCTTCCATAATGTCGACCATTACTGTTTCCACTGGAGTTCCTCTTTCGAAATGAGTAATAGCTTGATTAAATCCTTCATCTGCTTTATTTAGAACATTCAATAAAGCTGATGGTTTCACCTGAAATTAGAATTTTTAGATTTATTAATGTTCTCTGGAACTTACTGTGGTTGGTGGATTCTCTGTAGCCTCGAGAACAGCAGGTCCGTATGGGCTCTTTCCAGCAGCTGCTCCACCTCAATTTAGATGATAAGTTTTGCTGCTTTTGTAATCGTTACCTAGTCCTACAGAAGGAACTGGTGGTGGAGCATTACCTCCTGGGAATACTGGAGGTCCGTAGCCATCTCCGGTTGGTCCTTTAGAAGGTCCAAGAGCACTTTCACCGGTGAAGTAGTCTCCCTCGTCTAAAAATTCAAAAATCATGACACTGTTCGATCAGTTTCTCGATTACTGAATCCTTGTTCGCCACCAGCTGAACCGGAGCTTCCTCCGAAACCGCTTCCAGAACCTGAACCATATCCACTTCCACCTCCTCCGAATCCACTTCCGCCTCCTCCGAATCCGCTACCTCCTCCACCGAATCCACTACCACCGCCAAGGCGTCCGAAGCTTCCTAATAAGGACTAATTAACAACAGGAACTGATAACAAAGAAAACCTCCGCCTGAGCCTGAGCCGAATCCTCCTCCTGATTCCAAGAATTCTTTAGGTGGGGCAACTGGTCTAAGGCCTGAGTTCTGTGGAATGAAAACATCCTCTTTCGCGGCTTCAGGATTAGGTTGTTTTCTCTGCCTTGGGCGTTTAGATTGTTTTTCAGCTTCTACGTCAGTAGGGAAGTTTAGAGAGTTTCCATTTCCTCCTCCGATTCCGAAGCCAACATTAGCAAACTCTGGAGGTAATTCTGATGGCCCAAAGCCTAATCCAGCACCTGAACATGAATATAACAATGGAATATGAATTGAAAGAAACTACCAGAATCTCCGGTATCTAATCCGGATTCTTCAACAGGAGCTTCTGTTGTAGTAGTAGTAGTTGTTGTTATAACTCTTCTTGTTGTAGGCTTACGAGTGGTCGTTGTTCTCTTTGTTGTTGGGGCGAAAGCTGAAGAAGCAAAATTGAAAAGTGCATGATTAGCTGATCCCTTTTCATCAGAAAGTTTTATGATCAGCTTTTTTTAGTTCTTCTTCAAAGGATCAATCACATACTAGGTGTTGGCTGTGATCCAAAACCGGACTGAACGCCGAATCCGAATTTGCTTCTGGCATTATTTTCGAAGGGAGTCATATTGGGATCCTCTGGAACCTGCTCTTCCGATGCAATCTTCTCACCTGCATATCAAAATGAGAACGTCTTGAATGATAAAAAGCTACAAACCGGGACGACGGATTCGTAATCTGGGTCTTTGACTTAATTTTTGAGTGAATTGATAGCTTTTATATACGGGAGTAGTACGTGAATGATAATCTCCGGCATTTGAAGCAATAGCAGGGAGAACAAGTTGAGGTGAAGAAGGTGAAGGAGAACGTTGATGGAAGCTATTGAAAGCTGAATGTTCTCTTTCTTCTGAAGATAATTATAATAACAATATCTATAAGATCAAGAAAGAAAAACCCTCAACAGGACGAAGAAGTGGTCCTTGAATCCTCGATCTTTGGTTAGAGCTTATTGGAACTTGAACGGTGTCTTTATCTTCATAAGATACAGTTTTACGTGTATCAGCTGATGACGCAACGTTCGCGAAATTTCTCTTCTTTAATCAGATTGTTCAATGAAAGATAGCTTAATTATCTCAATAAAAACCTCATTTGTTTTCTTTGTTATTAATCCGCTGCCTCCACTAGCATAATCTTCTTCATCGTCGTCAACTTCGACGGATTCAGAATCATCCGTTACAGCAGAGTTATGAGGGACGGCGTAAGGATAGCTGATTGTCTTGAAGTTGATTCCCAGTTTTTTCCATCGAGCCTTTAAAGGAATCAATCAAACCAGTTATTATAATGAAAATCCCGAAAGTAAAGTTTTTCTGATTATTTCTTCGCTTTGTATTGCATAAGAAAAGTTTGAAGAACAAAATATAGTGTTAGAAATATATTTCTACTAACCTCCAATCGCTTTTTACGATCTTCCTCTTCTTCTGCAGACAATGGCAAGACAGGGTGAGCAACGTGATGATCATGAATTTCATAACTATCCTACGAATGTTATGTTTGATGTATAGACTTCATAAATTCTATATCATCTTACCCTTTCATATGAAGATGAAGCTATAGCAGATGAAGCTACATGTTGAGGAACGCGATTGTAAAAAGCTGGAGGAACTTGAGCTCTTGGTACATATGGCTTAAAATATACTGTATGCTTAGTCCATCCATATATTAAATACTTATTCCACACAAAAACAATTATGTTAATTGTAAGATTTAGTTAGTGATAACATATAGTTAGTATCAAGTTTGGATACAGCATCAGTTATATTTATGACCGGCTATCACTTTCTTACCATAACGCTCCTACATGTTTTTCATGCAGGTCACTCAAACGGGCTTTTTACGAACTTTTAAGGAAAACAATAAATTGTATCTTTACTTCTACTCTCACATCATAGCCAGAGCATGGAAATAATATGAGGAAAAGCTGATAACCACATTTGATTAAATGACTGTGAATCTACATGGGATTTCGGTGTACCTCCCGTGAGACCAGCTTAAGCATTCAGAACCAATTATGTTACTTTCTCACCATGGACGGTTGCTTTTCATACTTTTGTTAGATAAGAATTGGAATTCAATGATTCAGAAGCAAATCCATCATCCTAACTTTCTTATCGGCTTTTTTTCATTTGCCCCCAAAACCCATACCGCATACTCGTCATAAGCAATCATTATTCAGAACTAATTAAAAACACAAGATAAAAAACGAATTGGAATGACATCCTAAGTAAGAAATAATATGTTGTGAGTTTCATTTATAATCAGAACATTCTGAAAAGCTCTGGTCAGGAATCATTTTGTAAATTAAAACCTGTAGAATTGAGGAAACATGTTCGCTTTCCCGTTCCTCAACCTAATGGAAATCAAAATGAAACAATTGAATTTTGGAAAAAAAAAAAGATTCAACATCCCCTTCAAATACTATGTACGGAAATGGAGGATAGTATGAGCTAGGAGATCTTTTTCTATTAATCTGAAGAAATGTGAAAATTCAAATGAAAAACTGTTTGAACCAAATTGAATGCACGGTCAAGCAGAAAGGTAATGAATTGATTGGACGAAACAGTCTTTTCTGAGTTTGCACTCCGTAACCATTCAATCCTGTTCTTTGATTTTCATTTTCTTCATTATATTCATATGTATTAAAATTAACAATGAAATTCAAATTGAAAAAGTTTCTGACTGAGTGAGAACCATAGAGGTCAGAAAACTGTGGCCTAACTTTCCACTTTCATGTCTCATCATGTTCATTGATATTCACAATGGGATATCAAAACACATAAATGGTCACAAAGTCATTCAAACTTTTCTAACAAAAAATATATAATAGGAGCGCTTATTGAACGAGTGAGTTGATCGTAAGAACGCTTGACCTAGTAGAAACATATCATTTGATATTCAAGATGGTTATTTATCTGTTTCTTGTTCATTCTCTCATAGCATCTGAAGTCATCCGATCAAGCCCCCGTGTTTCGATTGAATCTCCATTCTTTCTCAATACTTATGGGACAATTAAAGAATTTCAATGATAATACTTCACGCCAACTACGTGATCTTTCGTTAACGGCCAGATGGAAATCAGGTCATTATGACCTTAGGCTTGTTGTTTCAGTTTGTCTTCTAACGAAGACGATTGTAGGTGAAAAGAGTGAAAATGTGGACCATGCGTTGCATCATCGAAACTAAGATCCTTCATTTCTCTCTCTCTCTCTCTCTCGCTCTCTCTCTTTTTCTCTCTCTCTCTGTTCCCTTCAGCTGTAGATATCCCTTCTACTGCCTTCACTCTCTTCATTACAATGAATCACACAACCTTTATGGACTAAAGGAGATTTATTTCAAAATTTCACTCGCAAAAACAACGTTATTGTTGCTTTCCCATTCAAAAATGAAACTTCACGAGAAAAGGTACTTCGGTCACCAATTACTTCAGAAACACTATTAGACTGACTGGACTTTCGTTCAAACGCTTCTCAGTCATATGCTTTCAAAAAGCTTTTTTTCCGAATATTCTCGTCAGTCAATCTATCCTTCACGGTAATTTTTCCAGAAAAACTTCCCTATTTAGAACATCAATCACTTAAATATGGTACAGATTTCAATTTGAACGAAGACTTTCTTCAGTACACTTCGTATGGAGAGAAATCTGAAGAATGAGAGGGAAAATTAGGAATGAAAGAAAGAAGGAAAGAGAGAGAGAAAAGGGTCAAATGCACTGAGTAACGTCGCATAAGATCCCTTTCTTTCCAATCAAAAGTCGCCGAATAACACTTTTCAGAAGACTTTAGCTCTTCATTCTCGCTTTCACTTCATTTCAAATCACTTTGGATGACTGCTTTACCATCACCTGTTTCCCTCGTCCTCATTTGAAGGGAAGAATTTTTGAAAAGAAGAAATATAACAAAAGGCAATATTTTTTCTTTCAAACTGAACGAAATGTTCTTCTTCATCGTTAACATCACTGATTTTGACGCTACTCATGAACCTATTAACTAACCGTTTCTGTTGCTTCATTTCGACATCAGAATCAGGTCAGGACAAGCGATAAAATGAAAGTTTATGTTTCAAATGTTTTTGTCCTGCATTGCAAACCTCGCTGCCTCTCTCATTTTCTTCACCAGGAATGTCTCTCAACCTCTCATCTCTTTCAGCAACTTTTTCTTTGTTGGAAACATATGAGCTTTTTCTATTCTCCGATAAGGACAGCGGTCAGAAGTTTTTTGTACCACCACAATGGATGAGTATGCTAGGTGTGCATGCAAAGGGATAGCATCATGGCAGAGTAACCGAGAAACTATGTCAATCCTTCAGCTAATACTTCAGAATTACAGACATGTTTAAACATAGGTGTAAACTGTGACATGATCGTTGGATTAGAATTCCTAATCCATACCATGGTTTATGAAAATTGTAGGTGAAAACAGTAGAGTAGAGAAAGCGAAACAAAAGGCAGACGATTTTGATCGAAAGTTAGAAGAAGAAGAAGAAGAAGAAGAAGAAAGTATTGAATGAAAGAAAGAGAAATAGCGAGAAAACAGCTAAGCACAGGAAATAGGAATTAGGAGCGAAAAATTAGAACGAAAATCAGATGAAAAAACAAAAAGAGAATTTCTTTTCTTTTTTTTCTCAATTTCGTTAAAAATTAAAAGTTTCACGAAGCCATTGAGTATGCTTGAAGTACAGACAGTAGCTGTTTGTCCTCATGTATAATACCAGTTTAACACGAATTTTTGTATTTTTCGTGCGGATGGACTAACCGGGAATTGTCTGATGTTCTCACGATATGCTTGTTGACGTCGAACATTAACTGGTTCGAGATCTTCAGATGAAGTTTGTATAGGATGAATTACCTGGAAGAGTTTATTAACTTCATTTTTTCTCTTTTCATGTTTCAGTTTCTTCAATTGATTGAAATGAACGATAGAAACACAATCTCATCTTGATATGCGATCTATCTACCTTTAATCTTCGTATTCCATGTAGACGTCGATATGACGGTATATTGGCGAATGAACGATGATCGAATGTCTCAATCGGCTCCTGAAGATAAACGATTCACTTCGACCATCTTCCATTATTTTGGCTTCTACGTTCATTTGGGAGAATAGAAAATCATTAAAAGCCTTTGGGAATAATCTCTTCGATTTCATTGTTGCTTTTGGCTTTCATGAATTTGCGAGTTGTTTTGATTGCTGACTTGGCTTTCATTGCATTGAGTTGATTGGTTTGTTGGAGTTCTGCTTGACCATACCTTGCGAGAAAGCAGGCTTAACCCATAGAGAAGACGGGCCAAGTTATAAGATTAGAAGAGCGAGAGAAGGGGTATAGAGGTAGAGAAGAAGTAAAAAACGGGAGAGAGAGGGAGAGATAGATAGAGAGAAAGCTGGACAGCAAGAGAGTAAGTGAATGAACCTGATTCATTGAAGAGAAAACTGGTTATTATTGTGAATTTTCTATACTTGGTAGTTCAGCTTTCTGACGTCAAACAAACATTGCCCGTCTTTAAGCAATAAAGCTTCAATAATTTGTTAATCAAAACCATTTTCGAGATGAGATTGATGCGCAAAGAAATGAGATTTGCTATCTCAATAACTTGAGCTTATGTCCTATCTGGCGAGATTTACTCTAAATAAGATTGTCGCATGGATATATAAATATATACAAGTCAAGCATGATGATGAACAAGATAAGAACTGTTAGGAAAAACAATTAAAGAATGCTTCAAGAAGAAGATGATGATGAAGCTTAAATGAAACTAGATTTGTATTGAGATGATGCTTGAGAAACAGTCTCTTTTACATTCGCCATTTACAAACTTGTAGAAGATAAACAACAGAAATCCAAATAATTAAATTGGACTAATTAAGCTTAAGGTTACTTATGGTGAATCTAAAGAGCGAAAAGCCTGAAGAAGCCATTAGCCTGGCTGGATAGTCCTTAATTTGATGGCAAAAGTGGATTTTGTAATCGGAAAAACTAAAGTATGCCTTATTAAAAAGGAAATATTGTGATTGTTGCTACAGAATTCATTCATAGGCTTTTTCCATTTCTTTTATTATACATGGCAAGTGGATACTTTAGTGAAATAGATCTCCCAGTCGTCAATTTGAAGAAGAAGAAGAAGGACTGACGGAGATAATCACAGTTCATGCGAAATCTTTTCTCTCTTTCTTCATCTTCTCTCTTTCTTCTAATTTCTATAAATCCACACCTCACATGGTGAAGAATCAATAAAACCGATTTTCGTTAATCTTATTTTATCTTAAGAAATACTTCAACTTCATTATTCATAATAATGTCAAAAAGATCTCTAGTTCATCCAATTTATAGACACACATTCGAACGTAACTCTCTGACATTTCGCAGTCTATGAACTATCACATCTCCATATACAGATGTTTTTAGATAAATTATTTTGAATGATGGACATGTACTGAACACATTTCGTTTTAACTGTATCGAACATTCTATCTACCTCACTTTCAGTTCAAATTTCTCCCAAACTCTTTTACCTTCATCCTCTCTCTCTCTCACTATGTGTAACCCTCACTATCTGAATATACGAGGAACTGTTTCTATCTCAGGCTTGTTTCATAAATATATCCAATAAAATTCTTCAAAAAAGTAGATGGTTTACAGCAATTTGAGTGCATCGAACATGCGGATTAAAGGCAATTGGATTCAGTGACATAGACGTTAACACCTTTGATTCCCTTTCGAAACGAACAAAAAAAAGATGTTTCAAAGGAAATTGTGTGTGGAAGTTAAAAAATAACTTCTGGCAAGAAGACTTCATCAGCATTGAATGAGTGAAAAGATATGTGATGACATGGACTAGCAATAGTGAATGCCCTTACGGAAAAAAAATTATGTGAGAACCAGCTTATTTGGCCAGGTGGTCATTCGACGCAGAGTGAAATCAAGGATGAATGGACCAAATGTTAAAATTATATAAATTTCAAACATTTTTCAAAACAGATTCGGTGTCATATTTGGAAGATGAACTTGCGAACAAGAAAACAAACAGATATAAGACATTGCTTCCTAATTGTTTGACAGATTCCCAACACCAACACTCTCAATACGTAGAAACTTCTATTTGTAGGTTACGAGCCAATAAAGTGACTCCAACAAATGACGGACAACAACAGAAGATTTGATAAAGAATAAAGAAGTTAAAACTTACTGAGCAATACACAATTGGAAACAATGAAAGTGTAATTAGTGATAATAACATTTTTCGAATATTAATTGTACAGCATAGCCTAGACATATAGTCGTCTTATCTTCTCTTAAATACAATGCTTCTTGTAAAGTGAAGGAGTGAAAAAAGACAGAAGAAAGAGAGTATAATGTGGGCAAGGGAATTTCTGATAGTCTGAAAGGAGAATGGAGGCGGAGACAAACTGCTGCTGTGCGAAAGCAACGAATGAGACAGGCCATGAAGGCGGAGACAGTCCGGATATGGATTCAATGCCTACATAGCCATTTCTACTCTAGGACATTCAACGTTTCCATTCATCAAACAACTTACAAGCATTTAAATTAGTTACGATCTTGAATACAAATCATGATATAAGCAATATGCTGTTTGGTAATCAATCTATCCCATGTTCGAAAGGATTCGAGAGTATTGCGTCTAAACCATGTAGCATAAGATAACATATTTCCTAACATTCTTAAAAGATTAACAGTATTACAGTAATTGCTAGAAGTAGTATAGAGCTCATAACAACGAAAAAAAGAAAATTGCGTTAAGTCTGTTGTTCATATCGCAGTTATATCTCTTTCCATACTTAGCATAGAGCGGAGGCACGACCGCTCAGATTTTCTGATCACAGAAGAACGATCAAGAAAAGTTCATTTTCCTTTCAAAATCATATTTTTCGGTTGATATTCTAAGACACCGGAATCTGATATAGTGCACTGGGAATGAAAATGTTCATTCAGTTTACAAGAGCTTGTGAATTCACCCTTTCATGTTAGTTCAATAATATGATCAATTTTTTTGATTCCTTCAAAAGATTTTGCTCGCATTACTCTCTGCTCCGACCCATAGGGTCATGTTTCATCGTACTACTGGCATTATTGAACTTGAACGATGAAGAGTGCTGTTTGATATTTGATTATATAAGAAATTAGAGAAAGCCAACTGCCCACTATAATGATACACCCCATACCTCATCAATCAGCGTAGACCGTATAGGATAGTGTTAATCAAGGATTTTAAATTTTTGTGAAAATCATACAGCACTAGTGCGAGTAGTTCAACACATTTCAATTCAAATTTGGATCAGCAACGTATTCAAAGTGAGAAAAATTTTTTTTCTCAAAAAAACTTAAAGAAAATTTATTAAATCATGAAATCAAATTGTTGTATAAGATTTGCTTGGTCGGTTTGCTACGGCTATTATACGAGGCCTCATTTTGTTCGGGAACCATGTAGTTTTAATACTTTTCCTATATAAAATGCAGAATATGATTCTAAAAGAATAAAATTAAATAAACTTTCTTATAGAAAGATAGATGTCTCTTACGCTTCCACCAAATCTCTATTTTCGAATGTTACGGTAAATAGAATGAAATCCAAGAAAACATTTTTAGTATGCGGCACATAAGTAAGAAAAACGAGTGAAATGATAAGAGATATTGAAATTTGAATGAACGAATGAATGAACATAATGAGATTCTTGGATAATTTCATCCAAACAGATGAATCCGCAACCTTATTTTTGTACTGAAACGTTAGAACATGTATTGGAGTAACAACAAACAAGTAATTACCCAGTGTCTGGTTAATACTACCAGCGTTACGCAATTGATGAACATAGCTGCTGACAGGCTTGGAACCATGAAGCTTTTGACAATTTTTTCGAATGATCGACAATCAGATATATTAGTTCCATAAGATACATAAATAGATTGTTCCGTAGTTATATTGAGCGAACAGTCTGAAAATGTGGTTTTAGAAGCAAGATCAAGCAGAGTCTGAAAATTATTGTTTTTACCGAATAAGTAGGAGCCAATGATCTTAACCATAACAACAATAATAAGAAGACACAGAGGTATCAACTTAAAGTATAAGAAGAGTATGATGATTGGTTCAAACAGACTAACGTGCGTTGACCAAGAGTTAAAGATGGTTCGATAGTACTTCCAATATGCAATAGCTATGAATCTGTTGATGGCCAGAAGCACATCCATTAGAATAATAAAATTCGTTGTAACGGAAGATATATAGAAAATTCGTCGTAAATAATTTGTTTCACTTTAACAAAGACATCGACATGATACTATGCTGACTGCTGGATAACTTACAAAATGAAATATTCATGAAAACTAAGCATTGATATAAGCACATGGAAGATGTAGATGGAGGATCGGCAAACACAAAAAAAATTAAATTGATTTCTTAACGATTTATCAGTTTTATATTGAAATACAATAAGTGAATGTAAGATAATGGTACAACATCCAGTCTGCAATGATAGCCATGTAAGGAATGAATGATATGATCTCCTCTTTAAAAAAAATGGAAAAAGAGAAATCATACCGTTGAAATGTAAATAAAAGGACCAACATTCACAAATTTCATTGAAGTTTGACTGTTTTGAAGTCAAAAAAAATATATTTTGGATATTGCCACACGTCCAATAATTGTCAGTTTAAATTCTAGAATTACAAGGAAACTGTTTCTTTAATGGGAACGAGCTCGATATTTGATGTTGAGAAGGAAAAAAACCATAATAAAAGAACAAATACCATATAAGTATAATTATATATCAAGAAGAGGGAGAGAGAGAGTTAGTGTACGGGAAATGATAGTACTCAGCAGAGAGGAAGAGAGAAGAAGAAAAAAACAAGCAGAGAGAGAGAGACATAAAGCTTTATGTCTTCTGTTTGCTGCTGATCAAAATAATATTCTTTATTTTCTGTGTTCTGAGAGAAAATTACTTTGATTTGCAATCCGCCGCCGTAAGTATTTTTAAAATTGAATTTATTTTGATGAACGGAGGCACAGACTTATTAAATTCATGTTCATCTGCTTGATAGAATCAGAAAGATCACCTGGAGAATGGAAGGCTAATAGAAAGACGTAATCTATGTTTAGCCAATCAAACAGCAATGCAACTGATTCTTATAAGGTAACTATCCTTTTATACTTGACAAACCATGTTGCAAAAAAATATTTATTATAATTATTATATTTATTATTAAATATTGTTTATATGTGTATGTGTGTGTGTGTGTTGTTGAAGTTTTCCAACTGATGACCCGCTTCTACTTGAGATTATAAAAGATAAATCATGCATCTTCCTTATGTCTTCATATAGTGCAGTTGGATTGTTGTAACGATGTTACATGAAAGGCTGGTGCATGTGCTGGCAGAACCCAATCAACCTTCAAATATGAATGTGGTTGTTGATTTCGAAAGCTGATGTAGAAATACCTCACATAGAATCGTTTCTCTAGATTCTATTGTTTTACGTTTGTCGTTCCAGAACTCCTCATCGTTCGTGGCTATCTCACTTCCATTCAGGAACAGAGATCCTAAGATTGATATGTTGTTTGGCTTTTGTTGAAACGAGAAAAAAAAGAAGAGAATGGAAACAGGAGGAATGTTGTCAAGTTTTATGTTAACCTGATATAGCTACAGTTCCCAGCGTTGGAATATTTCTCGCAATCAGAGAAATAGAATGTTGTGTTGGTCCAGGTGTTGCAAGCAAGAAAGTGTTTGGTGAGCATATTTCAACATGAACACCCTGAAAACAAAGAAAAAAACTTAATTGAAACTGAGAAACTGTCAGAAGCAATCTGTAGTTTGTGTGACATTATGAGAGACTTCCTCATAAACTACACGTCTGAGATCACACGAACAACTATGATTTTACTTTTGGTACAAGCTCTATGAAAATAGAATAAATCCCTGATTGGACGAATTATTCTTTTCTGTTTTCAGTTTCATTGAATTGTCAACAGCCATTGATTTGCTCTCACACACACAAAAAAGCAGAGATCTCTAACGGCTATTATCTATTATTAACTTTTCATTTTCTCATAAATGTCTTCTGCTAATGCCCAACCTCGTCTATGCCTCCTTTCACGAGATGTTCCTTATAAAGGAAATGACGTTCAAATATGATTTGTGCTTCGGGAAATAAATTTAAATTTCCAACAAACTGCGGCTGAGCCGATGTTATGACGACGAATTGAATATCATAAGGTGACAATCCAATCGCATTCAAATCTTAAAGACGTCACGATTAACTATTATGATACTAAAGTGGTACTTTGGAGTATTTCGTCACGTTGATGAGGCATTCCGCTATTAACAATTATTGTACATTTCGAGTCTCGAACTACCACAACATTTGATGAAAGTCGAAGAGAGGAAGAATAGTTTCCAGGCAATTGTTGAGGAGTAGCTAGTAGGGTCAACCGTGTGGAAGAGTCCGATGTCTTTAAGGTAATAAATAGATATTCATAGAGTAACTATAAGACTTACAGGATTATAAACTAATCGACGTAGATAAGTCGTTCGCGGTGATTGAGTCGTTGAAGTCGTTATTATTGAAGTTTGAGCTTTAAAAACATAAAAAAAATTAGAAAACAACTGAACAACTTGTTACATTTTTGATCCGGTACTTTCATGAAAACATTGTAATCAAATTGAGACGTTGATGTTGTGTAGAACTTCCAAAAATCAGGATTAGGACGCTAAATGACATTCAGTTTGCAATCATCACGTTATACTTACCGTTTGACTAGAACGTCCAGCAAGTAGTTGAATGAGAAGTTCCTGAGTTCCACAACACATATAGTCTTGACCATCTCTTTGACAGAAAGCCATTTGTCCTCCTGTCTGAACGATACAAGGATCTGGTTGACCCTTAAACACACAAAAGTTAGTAAGAGGTTAGTTAGCATATCTTACAGGTAGTGTTGGAACACATCTCATCAAAGCCAATGTATCTCGATGACGAAGTTGTGTTAGCCCTCGTTCACAACCCTCTAAGCCGACAATCAACAAAACAGTAACAACAACATGGAACATCTTTGAAAAAAAACTGAAAAAAAAAGAACTTTTTTGAGATAACGAAATTGAGAATAAGAAGTGTGAATGGAATATGATCTAATGAAGATGAATGAATATACATAAGATCTCAAGAGTCCTCTCAATTGGTCATCAAAGAACTGAAGTGATAGAAATGACAAACATTTCAAAATTATCTCTTTTTCCATCCAGTTTCATATCTTTGAAAAAAAAAACTTTTTAAAGCCAAAACACTCGAACTATCTTTGAGAAAAAAATTATTTCCATTGTTGCATAGAGGGCAAATGGTTTCTTTCTTAGCTATTTAGGGCTATAGCGAAGATTGGCAAGGCTGCAAGACTGTAGATGGCCATTAGACGTTGGTCACGAAAACAGCTTGGAAAGATTAAAATCTACGAAACAAAAATGAAAATCCATCGAGTCGGATACGGTGAGAAGTAATGATGAGTTCAATCGTGAGGTGCGAAAAGTAAAAAGAATACAGTAGATAAAAAAAATAAAACAAATAAAGAAGTGAAAAGGGCATTAAGCGATGAGTATCTTATCATAAGATTCTTGACCAATCTTCCTGTTCATCTTCTTCTTTTAAGTTTTCTTTTTTCATTAGAGCGAAGCTTGTGTACGGTTTGACTGGATATTTGAGGAACAGGAGGATCGAGCGGACTGACCAACCGGACAAACACAAAGTGGAGGGAGGTGCGGAAATCAAACGAAGGTAAATGCAAAGACAATAGAAGCCAATCGAAAGTTCAGTGGCAACAATAGAATTGAGATGACCATATTATTCAGAAAGTTCATCTCATATATACATCTAAGAGTTAATGCAAAGTTGATCAAACAACTTTCATCTCACTATTTCTTAAAATGATATACAATTCTCCAACATAAGATGATTTCGCGTAAGCTTTACAGGAAAAGACATGATACTCACGTCCCTTAGTTAGTCCCCTCATCCCCCTTATGTAATTTTTCATTTTTTCCCATTCGCTATTGTGGCACGATCACTTTTCTGAACTTTCGACAACAATACTTTGATATCATGGAGTAGTTTTAATGTGTTGTCCGATTTCTGATTCATTACAAACTAAGACAGTGGCGCCCTTTCTCAATGTATACGACGAAGCATTATCCAACAGTATAATAATATATATATTCATATATGCATAAATGCTTCTTGGAAGTAATCTTTTCCACTAGTCAAAGATGCGGGGTATAACTAGCTAATTTATTATATATTGCTCTATACAGAAGTGATCCAGGAGAAAATTGAAAAACATTTAACATGCTCAACAAACAGTTTCTGTTCAACGGTTTCCATCATAAGTTCGATTCAATTGGCTTTTAATCTATTTTCAACCAAAAGTAAAACACTTTCTTCACTACCACAGCTCTCCTGCTCAGCCAGCCGTTGAGATCTTAACGAGAGCTAAACTTTCTCTTTCAATAAAACTGCTTATATTGGTGTTTTGATTTATAAGCTTTATTAGGGCGATTTATTTGCATTAGAGGGCAATTCTACATGGATATGTCGATATACATCCTGCTATCATTCGTTTGGAGAGGAATTGTAAGCTTAAACTTTCATTTACGATGCTACAACTTCAATTTCAAGATCACGATATTTGGTATTGGCTTACATTGTATTTTAATTTATTTTTATTCCGCATCGAATAGCTTGAAAAATCATTTCGTGATAATCAGTGCATTTCGTTCCTTCTTCAACATACTTGCACTAATAGGAGGTTGCGCTTCCAATATCCTGATATATCTTGAGTAAGAGAAATCCAATGATTATCCTAATCATCTTTCCAGTTTCACTCATTCTGGAGAAACGTTCGTGTTTGTAGCACTTTCAGCTCAATACTATCTTATAGCATGTGAATTGGTCTTAGCTATCAATCGTATTGCTGCAGTTATATTTTGGAAAAAATATAATGTCATCTTCAATGACTTCTCAATCAAAGTTGATAAAATACACAAACATTAACAATTTCGAGGGTATTCTAGCTGTTCATACTGTTGCCTCTCTGTTTTTCGATTCTTGGCGCTGCTCTACCTGTGTACATAGAAGGTAAATGGATATGTGTAGTTTGAGTTAACTTTGATTTTCTTCAAGACTGCTTCTTTCGTGTTGAGACAGATTCACTAGTCTTCCAAGTAGAATCAGTACGGGGAGATATCTGCGAGAGAACACAAGCATTCGTCTTACTCTATTGGGTTAGCCTGAATATTCTGTTTAGTCTAATTATCAATTTGATAACTCTAGGCTTCCTCATAGTCTACTGGGTGAGTAGAAGCATGAAAGAGCATATTAAAATTAAAAAAACTTGTTTTGCTGCAGATAGATCATCACAAACGGAATGCGTCATTTCCTCCTCAAATGAAAAAGAATATTGGAATGTTTGTGATTTCATTCAGTCAGTCAATGATCTGGGTGGTTTTATTGGCCCTTCAAGAAAAACTTACAATAGTTTTTGAACCTATTCTTCTATACTTGATGACTTGTAGCATGGTTTACGAACTTAGATGTGTCCTCGAAGGGTTAGTTCCCCTATACATTTGACTTCCTCTCATACGAATATTCTTATTTGAAGAATTATGTTTGTATTGTTTAATTGGAAAAATATCAAAAGGTTGCATAAAAAGAAAGTGGAGGTTTGTTCTTTGATACTTTAGAAGGCATTTGACTGTTGCAGAGAATTCTACCACACTATGCTCATTCATCTGGCACAAGTCTGAAGCCATATTCGAGACAATAAAATAGGGAAATATGTTGATTCCATAATAAATTTGTTTTTTTTTAACTTTTTTCTCTTTTTCGAATTCACTCACACTCAACTGTCTGACTGTAACTATGGGATTCAGACTGAAACGCTTGATCTTGTATAGAAACACAAAAATTGTAATTTGTTGAATCAGTTGAAGATACAACACGTCACATAACTTGTAAATGGAAAGTCTAAAGAAGATTTTCGACTTCAAACCGTCACAGTCAATTGTTTCTTCTGTGAATATTTGCATTTTCTAGAGGTTTTCCTTTTTATTCTGGATGAAGATGTTAATTAGAAGCTTCCTCTCTCGTCGAAAGTCTCTTAGAGATGCCTAAACTAGTCCTGTAAGAGTCACCCAATGCATCTATATAAGGATAACGAAAACTTTTGTTTTTCTGTCGTTAATTGCTGATCATAATAAATATGAATGAAATATTCATTTTGATCCTTCTGCTCCCTACGCTATGCTTATCTCGTGGACGTTATGAATTCATTGATGACGCAGATCTCGCTGCTTTCTATAGGTATTTCTATTTTTCTTTTCCACTCACCCATTACTTGTTCGATTCAAAACAATATTTTTAAAAAATACAACATGTACAACTGTCGTTTTTAATAAAATAAAAAAAAGCTTATTTCCGTTTATTTGTCAGCATGAGATCTGCTCAACTTGCTCAACAGGCTCAACAACAGCAATTTGCTCAAACTCAAACATCTGGAGGAGCCGTTTCTCCATATTCTCCATACTATCATTATCCATACTATCAGGCATCCGCTGTACCTTCCACAGAAGTATAACAATCACATTTCTATTTTGGTACAGTCGTCGAATGACATCTCACATCATTTCAGGGAATTTCACTAGTTCCTGCAGGCTCATACAATCCCTACCTGCACTACGCCCCATTCCGAACAGGTAAATCAGTCTGCTAACAAAGAGAAACGGAATGAAAACTCCGAAATGTATGCAACAGGAGTAAACAAAGCAAAACATTCCATGGAAAGTTGACGTGGCTTTTGGAGAATCTGATCGAAGTTCCGCAAAAAAAAAGTTAATTGAATTCAAAAAACCAAATAAGAGTAGAAAGAGCGAGAGATAGCGAAGCAGAAGTAGAATCAAAAGCAGAATCAAAAACTATTTTAACTCATCAATCCCAAAAAGGCTAATTATATAATTTGATTTCAAAGATATTTTGGTTCTTTCAGCTGTGTCATCGGCAGCAGCCGCAAACCCAACTTTCATGGCTACCCCAACAGCTCAAGGTAGATCAATGACCGCATTTGGCCAGTACTCACCATACTTCACTGGAATGCAACAACAGTTGCAAGCTAAGAATAAGAAGAAATCTTGAGAACTGTCATCATTTGAAGATATTTCTGTTTTGTAGTTTGTAACCTCGCAGAGAATGTTGGATGAAATAAAAAATTTATTTGATAGAGATAGAAAAAAAAAACTGTTTGATATGACAAAATAAAAAAATAAAAAAAAATAAGAAAAAAAAAGATTTTCCCTTTCATTTCTATTCGAAAAATATTTTTTTAATTTTTTTTTCATAAAATTTTAATTTTGAAAAAAAAATTTTTGTTTTTAAATTCACATTGAGCGTAAACCATTGGAATCACATAGCTTGAGAGAGGATGGTTATGAGATCAACCGTTCCATGTGGAGCTCAACGAATACAATGACGTCTCACGTCATGCTCACGTGACACTGTGATTGAATGCACGTGAACTTCACACTGACTATATGCTAATGAAGTGAGAAAACTTGAAGAAGCGAAACAACGGACACAAACGTTTGAGAGGGAAAAATAAAAGCTTAAAAAAAGGTAAAAAGAGAGAGAGAAAAATTGAATAAGGAAGAGTAAGAAGTAGAAAATAAGAAAGAAAATTATATACATCATGCACATAACTGGAAAGGCAAATGAAGGGAATCAGAATTGGCTGGCTGAGTAATTTGGGGAATCAAAAACTCAACCCGTAAATATTTTTTGTGTAAGAACAAGTAATAACAAAAGATATATATATATATATATATATATAATAATTATAATAATAATAAAAATAATAATAATAAGAAATGAAAATGAGATTGGAAATCCTAATAAAGACCACATCCTTGTAAATTAGCTTGTATAATCATATCAATTACACTATCCAATATCATTTGTACTTGATTTGTATCCGTAGCACATGTCTGATGCATATAAATAGTTTTTTCTGGATTAGCATTAAGTCCTTCAAATTTTTCTTCTATGTATTTAGTAGCTGCTTCATATGTTTGTTCTCCTGAAATGAAACCAAAATAAGAATTTTTATAAAAAAAAAACTATAATTAAATATGAATAAATAATAGAAATATGATGTTTTGGTTGTGTCAAAATGATGGGTGCACAAGCATGTGGCAGGTATGTATGTATGTGACGACAAGATGAAGAGAATCGTCGTACATACACAAAGATATGTAGAGAGAAAGGGAGAGAGGTAACGAATGATAGGCTTATGAGAATGGAATAGAGAGAGTGAAAAAGAATGAGAACGAAACGTTTTGACAAATTTGCAACACACAGTCTGATTAACTTACCTGATGATAGAGCTTTCGTTTATTTTTGAGGAAGAGCTTTTCAGAAAGATAGAAAGAATGAAAATAACTGTTATCATTATGAAATTGAGAGAGAGAGAGAGAGAGAGAGAGAGAGAGATAAAGAGAAACAAAGAGAGAAATTGTCAGAGAGAGAGAGAGAGAAAGTCACCATATAAGTGGTTGTCGTGGTAACGCCAAGACTCAGTTTATGACTATATCGTCAAATAGTTTCTGTTTACAACAAAAAAAAAGTTTTTTCGATCTTATTCCAATGGTAATCCGTTAGGAGAAAGTGTAGAATTGAGAGAAAAGAAAAGGAGAAAAAGGAAAGAAAAGTTTTGATTGTTTTCTGTTTTTCAATTATGTACGAATTTTACCCAAATTGTACTGGTATTTGAATATAAATTACCTTTGTAATCAGGAAAAGCTGCTGTAATGTTTGTTCTCTTGATTTTTTCAGCAAAAAGATCTTTCTTATTTAAGAAAAGAATCATGGATGTATTGATAAACCATCGACTATTACATATGGATTCAAATAATCTCATTGATTCAACCATTCGATTCTGAAATCAGATGAATGATGTATGATGATGAGCCTTTTCATATGCCAAAGTCTAACCGTTGTTTCATCCTCAAACAATACTTGATCATATTCTGATATGGCAGCAATGAAGATGATTGCGTTAACATCTTCAAAACAATGAATCCACTTCTTTCGTTCAGATCTTTGTCCACCAACATCGAATACTCTGAAACATTTCTTTTTTTTTTTGCTTTCGAATTTCCATTTTGTTTCAGAAAACAAAGAGAATTGAACAGAATATTTTTTTTCAAAAAAAGAAAGACAGAGAGAGAGAGAGAGAAAGCAAGAGAAGAAGAGAGAGAGAGAGAGATGGAGAGAGACAAGGAGAGGGAACTAGAATGAAAAATGAAACATTGCTTCTCTCCTACCTGAAGTCAACATTCTTCATTTGAAACTTGACTTCTACTATTCCAGTAGTTTTGATACGTGATAGCAGTATATCTTGCTCTGTTGGCTTATAATCTGGAGAAGCAATTCGATCTATTGATGATAGAAAGCTGAAAATTCATAAATTTTCAATGAAAGATTGGACATTTTTAATTATTTCATTCATTTATATTTCAATTTTTGAACTTTTTTGTCTTTCGATTCGCTGCAATCTTACAAATGCCAAAAAGCATTCTACATATAACATCACACATTGATTTGATGTAATGGGAAGTCATACAGATAGGTATGAGCTTCATCATTAGGATGATACTATAAGTACTTACTGAACTCCACTTTCGGTAAATTGAAATTCATTTCCACGATTGACAGCTTCTTGAGAAACTCCCTTATCTGCCCATAGTCCTTTCATGGCTTTTGCCAACTCTGGCGAGAATGGTTCTGTTTCTTTTCCAGCTTTTACAGTATCCAATACTACACGTGCTTCTGACTGCAATGTATTAAGAGAGAATAAGTTTGAGATGAAGAAAAAAGATTTTTTTTTCTCATTATTCATTGAATTCTATCACAAGCTGATAGTGGGTGAGAAAGAATGTGACTACTTAGAGATTGCATAAAGAAAAAGTCGTGCGAAATGTAAAACTTAATTTATGCAGGCAAGAGAAAAAAAAAAGATAAAAACCTACTTCAAGCGCCGGGTTAGAGAAGGGAATGTTCAACGTGTTCATGGCTCGTAAGATCTGAGCCATCGCTTGAACTGTATTGTTATAAACAACTCCACGTTGTTGATCTGACTCTTCTTGGGAAAAGCCATGAGCGTGTAAAATCCTGAATTGGGTAAATCACATGTTATTTCTAAAATCAAAGAGTTCCGCACCTCATCTGTTTCAACACTGTGCTCTTTCCACATTCACCAGCTCCTGAAAAAAACAAAAAAATCTTTGAAAGTGCGCGGAAACATGATTTCTATATGAAAATTGAAGTAATAGAATAATTTTTCGAATATTTAACAAAAAAAATGTTTTTTTTCAGCATTTTCTGAATGAATGTCCTTACCTAGTAATAGGAGTTTGACAACTTTCTGTTGAGCTATATGTCCCTGCATCATCTCCTTATCAATCGCTTTGCTCTTTTGAGCTAATTCTTTCTCTTCTTGAGATTGACACATACCCATATTGCTGGTCGTTTATGGAAAATCCAATTTCTTTTATTATGATTTCAAAGATCTGCAATATAAATGTATTCAAACCTCTGATTTGATCATTGAAAGAATATGAAAATTAAAATGAATGGTTCAATGAATCTTTCGAAACTCAAAAACTTCATTTGATTATAAGAAAACTGTAAATTGGACTACAAATATCATTGAGGAAGATTGTAACCGTGAGAAGAAGAAGAAGGCGAAGAAGCATTTGAATAGATGTAAGCATGATGTGTGAGATACTAACGTACTGAGCATCGGAAGGAGATTTTGATAAGACGAAGAAAGAGAAAAAATTCGTTTGAATATGCGATTGAGATATAAAGAAAAAAATAAATGAAAATACATGTTTTCATGTCTGATAACGTATAGTTAGAGCTTGGTTATGTATATCTATTTCGATATAACAGGATTTATTAGTTAAATGATACATTTAATATGTTTTTAAGGAATGAAAAGAACACAAAAAAGAATGAGAGAGAGATATTGAGGTAAAAGACGAAAAATAGACGAAAAATGCATTTTTGACAGCGAACAGAGACAGAAGAGGGGTGGAGCTTGCTAGACAGAATGCCAGAGCATTTAATGAGAGAATAAAGCTCGATGACAGCATACCAGCAATTCTAATTGGCACCTGGTAGCTTTTCAGAATTTTATCTCAGTCTGCTTCTGTTTTCTTCTCTAATTCTCTCTATAGTTGGAAGATATGCTGCCATACAGAGAATTGAGATGAAAATCTCTCTGATGAATTCAATTCTTTTTTCTCTTTCTCTCACTCTCTACCTCACATTCAATCTTTCATGTTCTTTTTCTCATTCATCACTCTTCGCTTATATCTTTAATTTTTCATTTTCACTTACAACTCAACGATTAGAGCAAACTGATTATGTTGCAAATATGCAAATGACATAGTTCACGTAGTTTATGGAATAACGTGAGAAGTCACATACGTACGTATAACAGATGTACGGAACGGTTGGATAAGCCGGATTGCCATTTGAAGTTTTGTAGGAAGGGGGGAGAACTTGGATGTACTGAAGCTTGAGTAACAATAAAAGTTTTTTGTCAGCCATGCATGCCTGCATGTCAATAGTTAAATAATTAAAAATGTTTATGAATCAACAAAATCAATGGCAAGAGCCGTGCGTCTAATTGGAATGCCAATAGATGGGGCTCGATGAAAAGTACTTAGATACATAATCACATAGTTATTGTTTACTATATGATTATAGTGAAGTTGAATGATCACTGATAATATGAAATCTCCCTTACCTTATATGATTTTTGATCGAAGATGAGGAAAATTGTTATAATTAACATTAAAAACAATATCAATTGAGAGGTTAGACATGGAAATGTTTGTTTTCATTCATACAAATGGTAACTATATGTATTTAGTTATGAAGATATGATCGAAAAACGTATGATTTTTTGATTTCTTCTCCTGGTCACATAAACAGAATACTCTCCCTCTCTATATACCTTTCGCTCTCTCTCTCTCTCTGCTTCTAAACAAGCTAACTCAATTAGGCTTTCTCCATCACTTCTTCACCCTCACGCTCATACAACACGTTTCATATGAAATCAAGGTAATTTCGATTTAAAAAAGGAAGTACAAAGAAAAAAGTTGAAGAAAACAGAATTTATGATGTTTCTGACGTGCCCAATGGAAAGGATAAGTGTGCGAACGATTGGATAAGAGAGAATTGACAAGGACAGTTCGTGCAGCAAGGGAATTGTGTTTTGAGCCAAAAAAAAATGAGGCGAAAACTTTTTTTTTTGTTGAGCAAAATAGTGTATTTAACCATATGTTAGTTCATATGATTGACTCAGACGGAATATTTAAATTTCCTTTTTCAGCCGAAATTACATCGATGTAGTATAGTTTTATAGTTAATTACTATGTATTAAAAAATATATATTATATGAAAATGCAGCTTTGAAACCGTTCTATGTACGTCTTCATCTCATCTGAATGTATGCATGAGCTCACGTGGAATTGACGTGTGACGCGCGTGGGATGATGAAGCTTCGAAATATTCTAATTTAACTCTTTTATTGATTCATTCGAAATAAAAAAGCTGAAATTTCACTGCTGCTGCTCTCACTCTGGAATTAATGAGAAACAGTTAAAACAGCCTAATATGGTGGTGTGACGTCCTTATTTTCAAACAAATTAAATTAAATACAATTAAGATTTTGGTGAATTAAAGCTCAAGATTCGAGATGTTGATCAGCTTGGAACTATGGGCAATAAATCATTTACAGATAAGTGTTGTGCTCCACATACGTGAATGTGATTATTAAATATGAAAAAATAGAAAAAAAGCGAAAAAAAAAATGAAATTAGGTGCTAGATCAATAGGCAGTCATGAAGATAATTCATTGAGATATAATGAAAAGAAGAATTCTAAATTCAGTAGAATTTTCATTCAATGTGAGCATTCGGTTGCTGTCAAAATTTGGAAAGAACAAGATTTTCATCTGAAATCTGTGCTTGTCTTACATCCCTCCCCTTCTTCTTTTTCTCTGAAAAAAAATTTTTCTACATAATATGTTTCGCTCTTTCATATTCTCTCTCCCTCTCTCTCTCTATGTTCCTTTCTCTTCTCATTTTACTCTCTCTCTATCTTTTCAATCAACTTTTTGTCTCCCACTCCACCCTCTCTATCTCCATGTTTCCTCGAACTCCTTCTCGTCTTCATCTACCTCCTCTCATGCTCTCTCTCTCTCTTATATAGTTATCATCTGCTGTCAATGGTTCATGGCTAGGTGATCATAGTCTAAAACTTCAGAAAAATTAGCAGAATTCTCCAATTCTCTACATGAACTAATGGAAAAAAAAGATTTTTTTTTAAACAAGATGACGGTTAAAGCAATGTTGAAATTGGTTTCCATTGGCAACACGATGTGATCGACCTAAACTCCAACAGAAATAAGTAATTCACTTCTGATAAAACATCGAAAATTTTCTGAGAAATTCGTTCCGAATGGACGTATTCAATAATTAATTTTTCCATTTTTTTCTCTTTTAAATTCATATAATTTTATTGATTCATAATCTCTTAGAAAAATGCGAATTTTCAAGATTTTCGTGACGACGACGACGAACAAACGAAGCAGAACTTGAGCTATAGGAATGTTTTCGTTGAATAAAATCGAATTCAGGTAACAAGGAATTAGAATTTGGTTTGCTGATGAATAAAGAAGAAGAATGAAAAATAAAGATCTTGCAACAGCAGGAATCAGATGTTCACTAGACGCTAGACACAACGTCTGAAACATTTTGTTTTATTAAAAATGGATGAAAGAATTGGACGTTATAACATCAGTTGATGTAATGTTTATTCAACACATTCATTAAGCTTATAAGGTCAATGGAATGAGAAAGAGAAAGAGAATGCAGAAGAAGACACAAGCCTCAAGGAATATCATATTTGAATGAAATTATGTGAAAAGAGAAGGCTGGGTGGGAGGGCTGACGGCTTGCCCAGCAAATGAGCAAGCCCGGCGGTAATTATCTCCTAAACAAATTCATTTCGTTTGATTCAATGATGAAAAAAAGGGAAAAAAAAGTTTTTCATTCCTCAGCCTCGACGTACATTGGCTTATACGGGGAAGGCTGTGGTCAACAAGAAAACGATCGTCGATGACGTCGTCTCATTCGGAATATTAAAGTTATAAATATTTCAAACAGTTTGTCAGAGCAGCTTGAAATATCGATGAGATTAAAAAAATTTGAAGAAAGAAAAGATAATTGATAGCTTGTCATGCGGCATGCAAAATGTACTGAAATGCTGAAAAACGAAAATTTCCAAATGAATAGTAATAAACTTTATTTTCGTTTGTTGTATATACAACAAATAAATTCAAAATGTATTTGGAGCACAAGTTAATGGTTGCAGCTTCGATCTTCATTCGGATGTGTTGTGTTCAAGTTTATCTTTCCTAAGTCGTACCATTTGGATGCTTTGCCATGATGAATGAATGACTTCGGAATTATATATGTCCATCGTTTCTGACAAGGCTAAAGAGCGCAAAGTTCAGGTAATGTTCGTTTGACCAAAGCTAACTCATACCCGTATGCCATCGTTACAGTCGTGATAAATGTACAGAACGGGATCAATATCTGTGAACTCACGAGTAGTTCCATCTACACGAAATTCGCCGTCCTTGTCTGTGTATTTTTCATCGAGCAAGTCGTCTGCATCTCCAGGGTCTAAAAATGGAAAGTATGTTATGTATTTTTAACAAAAAATAAACTTGTATCTATGTCATAGAGTTTGATTTTTGTGTTCCGCAGTGTTATATTGCCGCAGTAGGTTATTCCCTTAACTGCAACACCTTGTAGACGGAATGATGTCACAAGAGCTAGCAAGCATGCAGATATATACAATAACTGATTGAACATACTGTAAAAGAGATGAATGGATTTATTGAAATGGTAATGATCACAAATAAGAAATGGTGTCAATGATGAAGCATCTTGAGGATGTTGTGAACAAAACAGCTGCGATATCAGCTACACAGCCGTCAATGAAAATCAATTGGATGTTTCTTCATCTGCTACTCGGCTCTCAGCATGCTTAATACGAGTTTCCAAATTGAATGTACCCAAGTGAAAGACATCCTGTTTATGAAACATATTAATTAAATAAATAATTCATTTTAACCTCCATAGTATTAATGAAATATTTATCAGGAATTTGGAAAATAAACTTTCGTCGTCCAGCCTGTTTAGATTAAATTTGATTTTGGAACGAAAAAAAATGGGAAAAATCGTATAAATCCTATAACTTTCTGGACTATCATACCTTCACACCATCATCACAATCATGATGAATTGTTAATATGGCGTTGTGTACGTCTCTATCAAACTCTTGGTGCAATTCAAATGTTCCATTGTTGTCAGTATGGGTTTGTCCAATTAAATTGTTAACTTTTTCTTTAATTATCCACTAATTAGTACATCGCTCTTGTTATTATCCTAATTGAAAACCTTCTTTCTCGTTCCATAAACGAACAAGAACACGAAAAGCTGAATGATGGCCACAGGTTAGTCGACCATTCAACAACGTCCTTCTTGAGCCCACCAATGCCAATGGTAATAATAATAAAATAAAAATGATTTTATTCATTTGCGAACAACTGCAAAATTCAGAAGAAAAAAATAGAATAGGATAGACAATGAATTCATTTTGATTATTTATTTTATAAAAAAGAAATTGAATAACTTACGCAATCGATTAACGCAGGATGAATATGCTAGCTTGAAGCAATGATAAGACAAAACAAATTATTTGATAAGAGAGAGAGAGATGTGTTTTTCGTGAACACATTTCCCTCTTCCTCTTCTTCTTCTTCTTCCCTTTTCTTTTGTTTTATTTTCTATCAAATCTCTGTTAACAATAAAATTGAAATTAAGTTTTGAATAAAAAAAAATGAATTCACGTGCATCCACGTGATTGCACGTCATTCAACACTTTGTGCGCGTACAACAGCGTATTGTATGTGAGTGCTGCTACGTAGACAGTCAAACATAGTGAACGGTTGCATTTTAATTAATTGCTTTGTCTATTTCTTCTCTTTCATGCTACTCTTGGAATCATAAACAGCCCATTTTGTAGAAATGAAGGTATTTCTCTATTTGAATTAGCTAAGTGCACGCAAAATGTATTTTCAATTTTGTATTTCATCCATCTCTCTACTTCATGCTCGTGCTCTCTATCTTAATATGCCGCCAATGAAACGTGGTGTGAGCTGAGAAGTAGCATTTGCTGTATTTTGGCTGTATTACTGATGAAGCATTTTTATAAGAGAGAGAGAGAGAGAGAGAGAGAGAGAGAGAGAGAGAAGGAGGGAGAGAGAGAGAGAGGATGAAAATAATTTAAAAGAGAGAAGGAGAGAGGGATTGAAGATGTAATCTCTCAATGTTCAGAAAAGTAAAAATATGCTAATTCGTTTAATATAATTATGATAATTTTTCTTTTTTATTCCAAAAAAGGTAACATATAGTATATATAATATATATAAATATATCTTTTTTTTAATTTCTTCAAATGATAATTAACATTTAATATAACAATAACCCAACATGTATTATATATAAGAATCACATTTATTATGATAATCATTGGAGAATTATTGAAAATATTAGAAATGAAGTGAGCTTTTTTAGACAAAAAAATCTTTTTTTTTGCTTTTTTACTTTTTAATTTTCAATTTTTGTATGAAAATTAGCATAATTGTCTTTTAAGTTTTATCTGCTGCAGCAGCTTCATTCAGCGAATTCCTCCATGAGAAGTATAGCCAGTAGGAAATACAAAAAATGGAAAATGTCGTCGGAAACACCCATCGACTATCTGAAAATTATGTATTTACTTATTATTTTTATATAATAATTATAAAAAAATATATTTATTACATCTATCTATGCGTCGTGCTATACGCTCATTTCGTAAAGCGCACTTCTGACAGGGCTTTGTGAAATCGTACTTGCTGTAGATATGAGCTGCTGCATGTGGTGTAGCTGACATGAGCGCCTGAAAATCATACGTTACGTCAGATATGGAAATGAATGTTCGATGTGAGAGGAAGTTGAAAAAGAAAAAAAGTTTTTTTTTCTCTTTTTTCACTTGTTTTTCGTGATCCAATTGAGGAAAATGAGAAAGAAAAGAAAGTTCTCGATTGGACTCTAATACGTGTGTGAGTGATTGATAGATAAACACATCATTTCAATACTGCAAACTGACAGAGACTGACTGGAAATAAAAAAAAAAGAAAAGAAAATAACACAAAACGTGCAGGAAAAACATCTTTACGTATAGTTAAACATGCATAAATAATATAACAATGATTGATTGTCTCCTTGCCATACTTGGAGATTAACAGAGAGCATTTTCAAATGAAGGACTGATCTAAGGTTGTTGCAACATCTGGCTGCAATCCCTTCATTCTCCGTGTTTCTCATGAAATTATCTGATAATTTCGTTATTTCATATATATTATCCGCCCTCCCTTTTTTGGAAATGGGTGACAGAAAGAGAAAATGAAGAGTTGCTGATTCATTTTGTGATATACAGATAGTATATATATCGTCACCGAATTCTATTTCAGTGTTCATGCAGTATCACGAACATGAACGTGAATTTTAATAAAAAAAAACACAGACTTCTGATGATTGTGCTTGCTCGGAATGAACCTAAGTGAAAGTAGAAACTTACACTATTCTCAGCTTCACTCTCAAGCCATTCTGTGGTGGCGATTCGCTCGGCCACAAGAGCCGTTCCGAATAAAGTCTAGGAGTATACAAGGAATTCTCAGAGTTTTAAATTTGCAACAAGGACTTTCCAACTGTTTCATAATTTCGAATACTTTCGGAAGCGAACATTTAGCGTTTACGTTTTGCGACTTAAACCTTGAGGAGACTCGAAAATAAGCCAAAAGTACAGTTAAGCATACGGTATGGACTCGATCAAGACGTAATGGACAGATATGAAGAACTTTGAAAAAAATAAAATAAACAAACCGCTGTATGATTCATACAAGCTGATAATCCTTGTGATAAAGAAAAAGCTGGACCACCTCCTGTTCGGCTTTTCGCTGCATCCGTTCTGGAGGCTAGAGGAGGACTGTCGCACCGCTGCAAGCTCACATCAACTGTTGGCCCAAGTGGATATGAGAATTTTATTTTTAAAAACGCCACCGTTTCTGTCAACGTTTTCTCTTCGAATTATATAATTAATGAGACATACATCTTGAATGTATAGTAAGCAGAAATAATTATTTTCACCGGGAAAAGTAGGTTAATAATGAAGGGGAAGAGAAACAGAAGACAACGGTAACGTGTTTGTGAAGAAAAACAAAAATAAAATTATAGAAAAACCGAGGATTCGGGGTAAGAGATAGATAGATAGAAGAGGCATAGCTCCACTGCAGATCTTTTTTTTTTGAAGATAAGAGAAAATCTCTTTCAAACGTACCGCAAACGGATATGATTCAGGAATGTCATCTTGGGTTTTCATGTTTTCATCATCCTGAAAATAGAAGTTGTTAATTGCTTACATGCACGTACTAACCACCGATAACTTGTGAACATTGTTGTTTCGAAGTTTTTGATGGTTGTAAGCTCGTCTATGAACACAATCAAACACCCTTTTTGTTACATAAAAGGATACAAATGAATATTCTAGGAGTACAAGAAAGATAAGAGCCTGTGAGAACGTCAGCCAGATGTCCAAGGCTTTAATGTAAGACACCTATTGAATGACAACTATACTAGTATCACATCATCAAACGTACTTGCGGTAGATCTTGACGAGCACCATTACTCATCGTTGTCAAAGTGAGGAGAGATGTGATTGTCAAAGATATTCGAGCTGGAGATGCTCGAGGATCTAACCAAAATGACATCCAAGAAATTGATACCAACATACCTAAAGTTGGATGCTTAGTGCTCATACTACGATATCTGTTCACATACCCGTCGGAATATATGTCTGAATAATATGGAATAATACGAGTCGTTTCATCACAATAAATGCTCGAATACAACTCCAATCAGCTGCAAGCACAACATTTTATTTTTTAATTTAGTTTTTTTTTCATAATTTGTGGGAAATTTGCATAAATAGCTGTGTGCGGATTACGAACGGCAATGCAACTTGTAAGTGCGTGAAGACGGACTGTTGCGTTTGATTTAGGAGAAGAAACCTTCAGCACAACCACATCTTTGCAAAAGTAATCGACGCCAAAAAAAGTGGAAGCTGTGATCCAAACATGCGATGAATATGTGGGCAAAAGCTGTGATTACTCATGACATTCACATATTGAAAGTGCTTAAGCTTGTTAGTGAGCTTTTGCTTTTTGAAAAATCGGCAAAGAATTGGCATTATGTTAGAAGAAGTTCCAAGGGGGATGTGTAGGGTCAAGTGAAGGAACGTGAGGTTAGTGTGACAGGAGAAGAATGAACGAAGTAGAAATTTGCTTGGATAAAATATAACAAAAAAGAGAGAGAGAGAGAGAAAGAGGACTAGGGGAATTTGGAATGTAAACGATTACCAGATGGGATCATCTCAACAAACATACCTCCTAAAATAGAATACCGTTCATCAACATTTTAGAGACAAAAAAAGAATTTTTGGAAAGGAAAGCTTTCATTTTCATTTCCTTTGGGATGAGGAAAAAATAAAATTTGAAAATAAAAAAAGGTTGAATCCACACAAGACTTTTGCTTGATTTTTGTAACAAAGAAAAATAGGTTTTGAGTAGATAATTAGAAAGTCAGACCTGCCCCTCTGAACATTGGATAAGGACCAGCACATTTCTCGAATTTTGTCTTTGTGATTGCCATATCATTGAGTTTGATATCTGCATTAGAACCGATTGGAAAGTATGGAGGATCAACATGCCATGTTAGATTGACTAGTTGTTCAATATAAGCATCTGCAATGATAAACCCAAATATTTTGATTAAAGAATGCAGAAGAAAAGAAATATTAATATCAGTAAAAGCTTACAGCTTTGAATAACCAGAGGGCATTCCTGGTAGTCGATTGGAAACAGTTTTAAATCCATCATACAGGATAAAGTAACATCTAATCTGGAATAATACGGGTTTCACATTGATTATTTTCTTCATTTTTTAATTGAACCTCATAGATTTGAATATTAAACCGTCTGGATAGATGATAACCATCATGTTTGGAGTTGTAACTTCTTGTAAATATGCAAATTTGGAATTTACAAAATACAAATCTGGATGCCACATTCTATCAGCTATTAACTATAACATGGAATGTATATGATGGAGATTGTCATATTATGACTCGTTTACTTTATTTGTTACCAAAATAGGATAAGTACAATTGTGTGCTAAACGTCGATCAAACCATCCCATAGCTAAATACATATCGACTTCGAAATCCTTAAACCAATTATGTATGTTTGAAAGGGAAAACTTTCTAACCATTGTTTGAGCTTTAAATGAAGACATTGATTCTATATAAATAGCCACGTGAACATCCGTTCTTTCACCTTAAACATCATTATGTTGAAAGATAGGATAGTGTTATGATATTCACCCCAAGCTTGTGAAGGAGCCATAAACATGTTATAACCGTCTTTGACAACTCCATTCCCGATTACTTTTAATATTCTATCACCAGACTCTGTCCATATTAGTTCATTCGTCTGATGACCGCTTCGTTCCGGTTCACAGAGATCATGTATCTTGTATCTTGGATCATACCAGAATTTGCGAAAAATATTTGGATCTTCGCTAAACAAGAAGACAATAGGTGGACGAAACAGTTTTCTTTGCTTTACCTATCTTCCATAGAACTGCGAGCAGATTCAATGAAAGTGTGCGCAAAGTCTTTCAAAGGTTCTGAAGCTATTCCATGATCTTTAAGAGTCTGTAAAGTACGGAAGTTGAAAGGAAACTCGTGATCTCCGGAAAACATAGATAAACACTACTTCAACTACACATCTATCAAGGGTAAAGCGAAACATAGAAGAAGAAGTAGTAGAGATCCTACATTAGAGCTAGTGGTTGATGGTTGATCTTGAAGCAACGCAGCTACTAAATCATCGCTCGCATCTTGTCGGAAAGTTTTACGCGAATGATCGGCTACGAGAGTGGCCTAGAGGAGATAAACCAAGCTTGTACTAATATTTATATCCATTTTTTTGTTCTCTAGCAAAACAATAAGCTATCAAAGAAGTACCTTCAAGTCCAGCTGAGCTGCAGCACAAAGTGTGATATCGATGAGGAATGGTAGTAGTAAGCATACGAAGATCAGAACAGAAGACATGCCATTTCACATTTGATTGCAATCTTTAAAGAGGAATAAAATGAAATTATGTAAATAGTTTAAAAAAGTATTGAATGAGGAAGCATGGAGTATGTTTCAACGCACTGAGAAAGCAACAAGTAAATAGGTTATGTGCAAGAAGAAGCTCAAACAACTCATAGCCATCGTTAGTCTTGACAAATGAAAAATGAGAGAAAGTAGAATATAAGTTCCAAAAAAAAGGAGAACTGAGAAAGTATGAAATATTCAAATGAAATAATATTAGATGAGAAACTTAAACATATCCATATGCAGCGCAAACTACGTGAAATACGTTTGTGTGAAAGTAGTGCACGTGAAAGTACGTGACAGCTACACGTGGCAATGTAAAAGAATTTTTTTTTCATTTTTTTTTTCATTTCGTGCAGATAAACAAGATCGGTTGGGTTGGGTGGGTTTCATTACAGTATGTTGAGATATAAATAAAGTTGAAAAAAATATTTATTTATAATCAAATGAATAAAATAATATTTATTATTATCCAGAAGGAGAAGAGAGAGAGACAAAAAAAAAGATTTTTTCAATGAATATTTCATGGATATTTGATTTTCTTTGCGCGAATGATTGTTTAAGCATATTCTTTCTTTCTATTGCACGAAAATAAAGAGGAGTAGGAGGAGGGAAGCAGGAGTGGATGCAACCTCGACGGCAACATGAATCTCTATGAACGCAAAAAGTTTTTATTAAAAATTAATTTTCTTTCTCTTTTTTTATTCTTGTTCAAGATCTTCTGTTTTGTTTTGTTTTAAACGACGAATTGGCAATGCGTACCTGTGTGTGAAATAAGATGGAATTCTCTCAAACGATTCATATTTCAACAGCTGGACGCCTAGCAAGTTTCTAAGATGGGAAAGAGCAAAGAATGCTCTTCAAAGGCAAATAACAGATTGTTACTGTATAGAACACGATTGCAAATATTCATGTTAGAAGGGGAGGAGAAGGACAAAGGAAAAACAATAAAAATGTGTGGGTTTATCAACATTTTCATAATCTGCTTGTGCATCAAAGCCATTCAAGGTCTTCGATTTCTTAAATCAAAGGATTTCCATTCTTCAAAAGTTTCAATGAAAATCATCAAATATTCAGTTTTATACCAAAATTCGGAAAGTATCTTTAAAATCAATTCATAAATTGAGAAATCCAGGAAGAATATTCTTTCGTTCATAATCTTTCATTCGATGACGAGTCTCTTTCTCTCTGTTCTGCTCCCCCCTGTTACTCTTGCTCTCATTTTCATTCTCTCTTAGAGCATTTGTCCTCTTTTCAGACAGAATCCAATAAATCATGAAGCTTTCAGACAGTTTTGTTTAGATTAGAAAACACAGATGTTCATAGTATTTATAAATATGATTCATCTCTGAACTTCTCACGTATACTTTCACGTGAAAACAAAAAACTCATTTTACTTTCCCTAGCAGCTAGTGACGGTTGTCTTTCCATCTAGCTTCCAGCCTGCGTGCCTTCTGTCTCTCTTACTCTCAATGAGCTTTACTTCAATTGATTTAGAAAATATGATTAAACTTCAACCTGAAACCAACAGGGAGAAAAGAAGCCTCTTCAAATGCTCTTGATGGTTCGCTAAGTTCTCTCTTTAACTCATAGTGGCTACGCTACACAGATAATTCGAAGTAACGATAGAACGAGGATGAGTATTGAGAACCAGATTTTCTCTGCATAATTTATAAAATATTTTTCTTCTGCTTAGTTACAGAATGAAAATTCAAAAAAAAAAAAAAGAAAGGAAATGAAGTCATTGGTTGTCGTTGAGAATAAATTAGCAGGCTTTTAACGACGTTTCACGATCTTCATTCAATGTGTGCCAGTGAGCCAATAAAGTCTTTAGAAGAAAGGAATCCAGAATAAGTTTTAGCGACTGCACTTGTAGGAGATTTCTAGCTTCTCCAAAATTCAGGAAGTTTGAAAGGCAGAAAGGGAAGAGAGTGAAAAACACAGATTGAAAGAAGGCTGAACAGAAAGGCGATTTCAGGAGGAATGAAGAGGAAACGAATAATTGTCTCGTTCAATCGCTCAATTGGATTAAATCAAAAATAGAGATCAAAGGATACCAGCATTTCGACCTGATGTATGTCTAGTAGGCGTGTAAAAAGCTTAAAACAACATAAGATGAGAGTGTAATGACAGAATGATTGATGAAGAGTTTCGAGTGCTGATAATAGGCCTCTTAACTGAGAAGAGCTTATATGAATGATGAAGCTGAAGAAAGGAGGAAGGTTTGCCGCCGGCAAAAAGAACAAAAAAAAGCCAAAAGGTGTATGTTCTTGGAGGTTCAACGATGAAAAGATCAACAAAATGAGAGAAAAGTGTTTACAAACACATCCAACTGTTGCATTTAGATATGGGAAGATCCGGATGATGGATTATACGAAGACACACGGTTTCATTTGATTCTTTGTTTTTACTTTGTTGCTCTCGTTGCTCTCTCGCTCTCTCTATCTTTTGGAATGAAAATACAGGTTTATGTAATTGAAATTTTAGAGGAACATGTCCAAAAAAAAAAGCTTTGATATATCTATAGATTAGACTCTTGTTTATAGGAAATGAAAGCCTGCTTAAATGGATCAAAAACATATTGCCGAAATTCGTTTTTTCGTTACTCTTAGACAAAAATGTTTTCTGTTATGTTTGTAAACCTTCGTTGATGATCATAACAGGAACTTGGCATTGCAACCGAATCTTCAGGATTTATCTTTCATTCGCTTTTATGCATTCTAACGTTCTCACCTTATACAGATCTCTTGTTACGAGATTACTGCACAAAACCAAAAATAAATATGAATATCTTATTTTATGTGAGGAAGTAATGAAAGTAGCCAGCCAGCCATCCATTGCTTTTAAAGAATGTCCACTACTAAGACTTTTGAGTTAGAAGCTGACTTGATGCTATATTGACAACAACCTCAAACAAACAGGGGTGAAGGCTTTGTTTCAATCTGAATCAACATGATGCTCATTCTCAATGAATAGTCATATGATTACTAAAAATCAGAAAAAAAAAAGAAAGTTTTTGTGACAATCATAAACAGAATTACATTTAAAAGGCGAATGAGATTGTTAATTCCTTTATCGTTTTGTGGAAAAGCTTCAAGTGCACATCAGACAGCAACTTTCATATGTTTTGTATGAGAAAATAAATAAAATTCTCAAATTGTAAACAGAATGTGAAAGAAGTAAAGAGAAAGAATGGAAAATTGAAGTGAAGCATAGAGGGAGGATGAGGGAATATCCAAAAAAGGCGAACGTCAACCACCTGATGAACGCAAACGCTTAATCTCAAATCTTCGATTTCAAAGAGAAAAAAACTTTCATCCAGTGATCGAGAGAAGTGAAGAGAAAGTATTTAGATGGATGATGGTCATGATATGTCATGATGAAGATGTTGAGCAACAAATTTGCCCTTAGGGGAAAGTCGGATAAATCTCTTGAATTCGAGTTTAAAGCACTCATAACCTCCTGAGACTAATCTACAACAAAGAAAGATAAAATTAGGAAATTAAAGCTGAAAAGTACTTGGGAACTGAGCGTTATCCTTAAGATTTACGACTTTATCACACACGCACATAACTCTTTCTTGATTACCATATCAAGTACTACGTTGAACCTAACATCTGCTAGCTGCAGCTTATAGCTTTCAAAAGAGATGAATATGAAGATGCATAAGAGTATCATAGAGTGTCCAATAAAGTGGATAAATTAAAGCTAACGAAATGGCTGAAGAAATCCATAATGTTCTTGGAAGGTGCGAAAGTGAAAAATAATCCGCGAAAAGAGATTGGAGGGGAAGAGTTTATGTAAAAGAGAAATATGACAGATGTCAGAAAGCTGATGGTCAAACTGTGTTTTCAACAGCTGAATGAACGAACAAAACATTTTTTGGTTCAAGTTAGAACATCAAAAGTTCACGAACACGTATGTATGAGAAAAGATCTAAAGGTGAGCTATGAACTTGAAAGGAAGAAACTGAAGAGTGGGAGTGGAATGGAAAGATAATTGATGTTTGAAAAGAAGTAAAAGTGACGAAGGCTAATAGAAAGAATTGAAGGAAGCCCAAAAGACATACTTCGCTTAGAAAAGTATGCAGCAAAGTCTAAATAAGGTATTCAATATGTATGAAATGGGTTGTTGATAAGGAAAAAAATGAACGAAAGAAAGAGAGGAGAAAAAAAAATTTTTTTACTGGTTTACAACGAAAAATAGATTTTGAAAGAGTGTGTTGTGAAAATCTAATGTGTTAATGTGGCTGAAGCAATAATGATAAACTAAGAATGGGTAAAGAATATTTTTTTTTATAACAAATACTAGTAAATGGGCCTTTTGTAGATGTGGTTGTTAAGTCTCTCTATCAGTAATGCATTAAATGCCTCATTCGGTACTCTTCTCAATGTCCACATATATATGGACCACGCATCATATGACATGATTCTACCAATTCGAAGCTTTAGTCGTAAGCAGTCTTTTATTTCTTTTTTTCAAATATTCAGATTCATTTATGACTGATTTTCAGCTATACAAATGCCACAGAGTTTGTGTGTACTTGACTAATTAACAGAAAGTTTACAACATTCTTCCGTCTCAGTTCTCAGGCTCACAAACGTTTTTTTGAGCACAAAAACTGAGACGAATAGTTCCTTCTTGATTTTCACAAAATTCAATTATGATTGACAAACAGATTAATGAGTAATGAAGTTTAGTTAAACAGCTTAATTGCAATTCCAAACAAAAGCATTTTAATTTGTTTTATACAAACTATACTTCCTACTTGAGCGATAACTTCATACCACCTCCGATCATGCAATGCGAATATCTGCAGAATGCTTCACAGAGTCAAAAGAATAGTTTTTCATTCAGATTGAATTTATTTATCCAAAAATCGCTTCGGGAAAACATTTCTGAATTTTTATTGAGAAAACAGACAGGTTCATGAAATTTCAAACACTTCCTGAAGTTAGTTTATGACGTTGACGGACGAGACAGAAATTGGGAAAAAATGACTGCTAAGCATTAACTGAGCCATTAGAGGGATGAATGGAAGCTTCAAAGCATGAGATTACCGAAAAGAGAGGGAGACCAAGTGAAGAAAAAAACTTGAACAAGCATTATTTTCCTTGTCTCTCCGTGTGATCTTGGAAAGGTCCAACTCTCGTTGATGCAAACTTCTCCTCCCACTCTTTTCCTACTTTTTCCTCCCTTTTCCTCTCTCACTCTCTCTCCTGCTCTCTCTCTCTTTCTCTCTCTTTCTTTTATGATAATCCCTCTGGATATGCACACCTCTTACTCTCCCTCTGTATCTTTTCTTCTTCCCTAAAACTTATTCATTTCTATTTGTTGTGGGTCATTGCAAAATAGTTCACATGTACATAATTTCATTTGTTTCCATGTAATGAGACGTTCCTTCCGGCTGTCTTTTCTTTTGGTAAGAGAATGTTAAGAGAAAGATAAATATCATTAAGGAGAGGGATATAAGCACCACAAGGAGAGTCAAGCTCATAAAAATCCTGTACTCGTAATACATCTCTTTATGCTATCTCTTTTTCTCTTTTTCTCTCTCTCCTTCCATCTCTTCAATTCTGTCCAGAAGATTGCTGTTGACTGTTTTTGTGATTCAAAAAGAAAAAAAAAAGAAAAAAAACACGCGTAAAAATATTAGAGCAGAGGCAACACAGATTACCCTTTGACTTTAAGATTTAATCTTAAGCCTTCGATTCGTTTTTAGAGTTCTAAAAAGGATTTGTTATGATATACAAAGCAAGTCTATAATCTGATCTGAACGGCCATTTCTTTTCTTTCACACTAGAGCAAATCGGCAAGTCCATTAACGAAAATAATACAAATTGATTTATATAACAAAAAGTCAGATTGTGCTTAATAAATTAAATAAAATATGATTTTTAGGATGAAAAAGAAGTTTAAACTGATGGAAACGTTAGAGTAAGCACTCTTGTGAGCAATGAAAACGACTTCAAGCAGAAATGGAGGACAGAAAAAAAAAATAAAAAGAAAAAAAACCAAAGATAGAAAGAGGAAGGCAATACAACCGTTTAGCGTAGGCTTTAGATGCAAAATGATTTTTAACACAAAAACGTGATGTCGACGTGAACCCTAATTAGCATAAACACTTAGAAACTTTCATATTACTTCCGAATCAAAATCGAAAACTACCTTTGTAAGAGGATAAGTAAAGCTTGTATAGAGGAAGATTTAGGAAGTTATGCATGGTTGTTTATGATAACTCTTGAGTTTAGAAGATCGCTTGAAGTATCGATCATAAGGAAGATAATCATATTGAATCTTTGAATGAACGTCTGAGCTTAATCATACTCAAAGCTCTTGAAAGGATAAATCAACACGAGATTTGCTATAAAAACTCATAAAAAGGAATGTAATGGGATTGGTCTTCATAACTTCTGGGAATATGACTAATTCAGGCTTCAATGAAGTAAGAGAATATACCAAACAAGGGCATAGAGCTTTCAGTTTTTTTTTTATATTATGAAGCTTGAAGATTTCTCCAAGTTAGATAAGAAAGATAATCTAGTTTTGCAGCTTGAAGAAACACAAAACGAAAAGGAAGAAGAATCACAACATGTTAGTTTCTTGAGGTAAGGAAGATTACGTCAGATTCAATTATTTTCTTTTTTTCCTGAAAAGAGAAGGGAAGCAGACCAATTGACCTGTTGTTTAATGCAACAATTGGTCAAATTGTTGGCTCAATAGAGTACTCAATGACTGTGTTGATTGTATTTTCCTATTCGAAAACAAGGAACACATGGGTACATGAAATCGTTCCCGATGGGATTGTTTGGTATTCAACAAGATTTATTCATATAATTAGTACTAGTATGTGAGAAACCCGAACATTGGCAACAAGTCATAAGTGCAACAAGTAAGAATCACAAAGTATCAGCAAATGTACAAAATGCTCATAAAAAGATATTTCAATCATTGATAATGTTTAAATTAACCCTAGAATTTTTTTTCGTTATTTTCACAACCATACCCCTATCTACTTCAACAACTTTGTCATATATTCCAAGATTGCTCGTGTTATGTACAATACTTATAACCGTGGTAAGTGGGAAATGATCCCAAATGGATGATATCATCAGCTGATGTGCAGAAGCATCTAAATGAGATGTAGCTTCGTCGATGAGAACTATCTTTGGTTCTGCTAAGAGTAACCGACAAATAGAAATGACTTGTTTCTCTCCAAAAGATAGGTTTTTTCCTCCTTCTTCAATCATTCCATCCAAGCCCCCAGTACGATGCAACAGAGCATCTAAAGTTTCAGGTGAAGGCTCAATTCCCAGATGGCCACTTACCCAAAGGAGATTCACTCATTAGTATCCTCGTTACTCGACTTCTCTCAATTTCTGGACAGCCTACAGTTAAGTTTTCGAATAGAGTTCCACTGAAAAAAAATTGGAAGAATTAAAATGAAGGGAGGATAAACCTAAATATGAAGGGATGTTGAGGAACAATGGCGATTATAGAGCGGAGTTGTGAGAAGGGAACATTATTTATATCATGATCATCAATGAGAACATGACCTGACTCATATTTTACAGTTCTCAAGAGAGTCTGAAATCAAAGTTAGAGATATACAAAAGAGAGTCTACACCTGGAAAATGGTACTTTTCCCGCTACCCGTTCTTCCGCAGATTGCCACCTTCTCGCCAGGTTCAATTTTCAATGAGAAGTTGTCGAGAGCTAGTGGAGACCCGCGGTCATATCGTAGAGAAACAGAGTTAAAACTTATTCGACCCAAGATATTTCCAACCCTCTGAATAAACAAAATCAGAAGTCGTTGTGCGAATAAAAAATACTTTTGCATCTTCACCATCTTTCTCAACAGGAAGTTCATCAATGTATTCTTGAATTCTCTCGACTGATACCATTTCCTAAAATAAGATTATTGAAATTTTTTTAGACAAAGTTGTTTACTTTCTCAGTTTCTATGAATGATCCCAGAAGACCATTCAGTAAACTTGTCATGGATAAGGCGTATGTAATGGCTAGGCCAACAAGTCCTGAAGCAGACAATATTAAACAGTTGAGTCAGAATTAAAATTAAGAACCTGAATCCACATTGGTAATTTTATGTTGAAGAATAGCTGCAACGGAAATTCCAGCCACTACAGCCACCGCTATAAGAGACAGACGAATAGCAAGCCATTGACTTGCGGCTAATGAAGAAAATTGGGCACGAATGTTAGTAGTCAAATGAGCTCGCATTAGATGCGTGAATCTTAGAAAGATAGTATGGATCACATTTCAAAATGTATATATCTTACCTTTCGCTCAGTCTTTGTGCTCTTATTGTGACAAGTCCATTCACTGTATCATTTAGGTGAGAATAGAATGGAGACAAGCTTAGAGAAGATAAACGTTTCAGTTCGACAGTTGTGAGTCTGAATCATTAAATGGAAGCATATTTAGGAGAAAAAAAATACCGGTAATATTTCTGTATAAAGAAATAGATGAAGAATAATATGATCAACAGAACAGATAGGAAGGGAAGGCCCATTAGTGAAATTGTTAAAGCTCCAATTAAATTGAATAGAGAAGCCAATAAAATATTGAACTGAAAAAAAGACATAAAATAAGGATTTTAGGGAATGAGTACAACCGCTCTCTGTGTGAGATACATTTTAAATGAGCAAAGTAAGTTTCACGTCTTACGTGAAAACAAACCTTTACATTATTCTAATACAACACCCGACAGTGGCAAAAAAAAACTGAGTAATTGTATACCTGGAATGGAAGATTGTCATCTACGGTGTAAACATCGGCGCACAAACGGTTGATCACACGTCCTGCAGGTGTGCGATCCCACCAAGCAGTTGAAGTCTAGAATATTCTTCTTAATTTTTAGTTACAGTGTGTTGGTCACCTGCAAGAGTTTGTGAAGGAGATTCTTGTGTAACGTTTTAGCAGCCACAATTCCACCATGAGCAAACAAGTAAGCTCTAATTAAAGTGAAAAATGTGTTTCCTGCGGCAATTATACAATATATCATAAGGAAATATAACGATCTATCCCAATCTGAACCTTCCAAGTATCTGAAACAAGATGAAAGTGCTTGCAGCAAGAGTAAGACACCAACGTGGGTTCTCTCTTTTTCAGTAATAGTTGCTCCATTGTAGCGGGTTCCGTAAGGTTTGATTGGTTTTCTGTCCATCTTCAAATTTTTCGCACTACAGATTGTATAATGAATAATACATACCTGCTCAGCCACCAATCTGCTCCATTTTTGGAAATCTGCATGAAAGACAATGAGATAAGTACGAGCACAGATAATATGGGGCCTGTTGCATAGGCATAAGCTCCATAAATATTAGCTTTGACTGTTCCAGACTGAAGTTTTGTTTATTAACACGGAAATTTTCAACTAAAATCGCACTTGTTTCTCTTCATCTTGCTGCAAGACTCGTTCAAGACCAATTTCAGTTTCTACAGTCTCAAAGTTATCGGAAAGAAAAACTTTTTCATGATCCGGCAACACTTCACTTGGGCTTCCTGGAACAACAGATTGGAGACGCTATTTGATATAAATAGAACCTTTTTTAATTACATAGCCCTCTTTATTAATCACCAATACTTCGTTAGCCTTCGAAAGAAGGGAGAGATCATGAGTTGCAACGATTATGAGCTTACCCTTCTCTCTCAGCATCTCGAAAGCCTTAAAATAGATAAAACTAGCACTAGCATGTTTTCTTGAATGACGAACCTTTAACCATATGGTGTCTGCGACCTTTCGATCAAGTGAAGCAAATGGTTCATCCAGCAAAATCACGGAGTTATCCTTAAGTATAAGCATACAGGGATCAGATTTTAATAGTAATTTTTGAGATCATATTCATTCATGGGATTCCCAACTAAAATTCATCATGCCCACCTTAAGAAATCACTCGCTCTGATTACGTTCAACCTTCACCGTATGGAAAGCAATTATCAATAGAGAGAGAGTATATCATATAAACATAGAGAAACTATATATC